GATATTTCACATCTACATACATATACACTTAAAATTATTTAAACTATATATATATATATATTACAAATGTACAGGAGTTCGAATAGTTTTATAAAAATTTTCCTAGGAAGTCTTGTATAAAAATTTTCCGTTTAAAGATAACAAATTCTATTTACAATTTTATCGTTGGAAATTACCGGGATATTACGCACGTATGTTACAATTGAATGTTAATGAGGCATTCACTACCTCATTCCACAACTTGAAAACGCGATCTATCAGTCTATGATTCGTTTGTTTCCTTATAAACCAATACTAACACTCAGTTACGTTCATCACGAGGGCGGTTTCTCCATCGGTAGATGGTGGTCCAGATGATCGCAATGAATGGGACACTGATGATAAGACACTGCGCTCGCGTGACCCGATCTCCCCGAGGTCATCGGCACCCCTTGCTCCCACGTGTTCTTCACAGGATCATATATCTCGACTATATTTAAAAATCGATCCCCGTCGTATCCGCCTGAAAGCATTAATTCGAATCTTCGATGATCACAACTTCTCTTATTGAATTCTTTCGATTCTTACCCATTGCATATAATTTTCCATCCAACACCGTGACGCTCAAAGCACTGCGAGCAATAGAAATATTACTGAAGTGCTCCCAGGAATCCTTTTCCGTATCGTATCTCTCTACAGAGTTCAACTGTCTGGTCCCGTCGTATCCACCGACTACGTAAATATATTGTCCTAAACCGGCAACCCCAGCACCCGATCTACTGCATTTCATAGGTGAAACCATCGTCCATTCGTCGTTTTCGGGATGGTAGCACTCGACAGAATTCAATCGATTCGTCCCATCGAATCCACCAATCGCATAGAGTAATCTGCCACGTTTCAATGTTGAATTGTAACATTGAAATTCAATTAAAAATTCGCTTATCAATAGTTAGTAGCCTTTACCTGTTAACAACGGCCACTCCAACTCCCAATCTCTTGACATGCATCGGTTTTACATTCGTCCAAGAATCGTGATCTGGATCGTAACATTCGACGCTGTTATGATACTCGGCACCCGCACTGCCTCCGACAGCGTATAGCAAACCATCCATAACAGCCACCCCTAATCTGTTTCTTGCCACCGACATCGGACTGCAAGCTCTCCACTGATCCGTTACTGGATTGTACCTGTCCACCCAATCGCTGTCGTATCTACAAATTTCAATTCCTTTAATTTGTGTCCAATCTTCCGTCGAACGTGTCCCAAAGAAATTTACCTGCTGTCCGGCGAATTGTTCCTCCCTCCAACAGCGTAGAACATACCCTTTAAGAACGCGCCGCCTAAACCCGATCTCGGGACGATCAGCTTCGCGTGCTGCGTCCAAGTCTTCTCGTCGACGTTGTACCCTTCTAAAACGTCGAGGGAGTGTTTTAAGAAACCGCCGGCTATGTATATCACTCTTCGGGTATTCGGTGTCCTCTCCTTGACCACCGGTTTTTTATGGAGAGTCAGATCCTTGAATATCTGCGCGAGGTACTCTCGACAGGCAGGCACTTTCTTCAGCACGTCGCAGTTTTTCATTTGCTCTCTGAGAAAGTTCGGCGTGAGGTACTGACACCTGACCGCGTGCAATATGTGCTCCATTTTCGAGCCCCTCGCCTCCTCGTTATACTTGACCCATTTCAACACCGCGTTGTACACTTCGCGTTCTTCCTGCACGTTCAGCTCGTCCTTTCTGACCAACGATATCAATTGCATCGCTGACAACTGTAGGAACTCTTCTTCCTGACATATCTGACTAAAATGTTGAACAATAAACTGATTCGCTTTCTGATACAAAGTCTGACAGCCGTGTTGCTCGGCAAAGTTCGCTATCCCGATCGCGTTCGTCGGGTCTAATTGTCTTTCCAAGAACACGCAACACGCGTCTATCACATTACTAACCTGTGCGAGTAAAAGACAAAAAAAAAAGAAAAGCTAGTCGTTTTAAACTGCCTCGTCATACTTCATTAATTTATTGAACGTTATCTGGCCGCATACCTGAAACATGGTGGCAGCTGATAAAAGCGAGCACACTGTAATCTCTGTGACTCTTATTTGCCCGGTATACATGAAGTATATCAACTTTCCCATTGTGGTCGGGCACACGCCTTGCAGTTTAACCTTAGTCATTTCTGACTCTTTCAACCCCCCCGTGAACATCGCCTGAAACGTAACAATATCGACTTTACTCATTTGATATTGATTTCATTCGCACCCATCATGTTGGCTTACCTTGAAGTAAGGACTGGCTGCGGCCAAGATCACTTTGTGTGCATAGAACACTTCCGAGCCGACTTCCAATACAACGTCGGTCAGCATGTGATGGCTGCGCATGATGGACATCATCTTCATGGCACCTTTTATATAATTAGTCATATAAAAGGTCATGTCTCCTAAGTCCCCGTTTTTCTCCGCGCCATCCTCGAGCCCTCTGGCATCAGTGATGAACGAAGAACCAGATCCAAGGTTCTCCGAACGGAAGCTGCCCTCAGCTTCTTTTTTCATACAACAATCCTCTTCGTCCATTAAAGTGAACTGTGAAATATCAGTAGCCACTTAGCCAACGTTCATTCATAAAACATATTTATAGAAATTAGAGTAGCCTACTGATTCGGTTACTCACCGGGATGATCTATCAGTCACACACACACGGAAACACGATAAAATTCTTTGAATAAATTAACTTGAGTAGATTCGAGACTTGATCATAATTCGTAGGACTTAATAATTGATCGACGATCGGTGATGACGCACGGGATACGACCAAGATAAACTGGAGACACACGTCAAACAAAACGGTTCTCGTGTTAAACGCACGTGCTCCTGGAGCACAGGATCCTGATGCATGGACAACTCCCAGCGGCGAGTATCATCTGAACACTCGTTATTAAGAATCTCAGTCGTTGGTCTTGATGCGTTAGTGAAAAGACTGATAACGACGTCGTCTCGCGTTCTCCGCTGTTACTTCCGATCGGCTTCTGAATGAAAAATCTGCATTCCACACATGTCTGTAACGCTGCACGGTCGTCGTCTGTGTGAGAAAATTTTCGGCCAAGACGAACCGTGGTACACGACTATATTTACATGTTACCGTAATCGCGAGAGTAACAGACAGACGTTGCCACCTCGTTTGTGTATGGTTAGGCGAACCGAGCGTACGAACACAGCCAAAGCGAAAGTTCGACCGTGAAACAGCACTCGTGATCGTAGATGACGCGAGTGACTTGCAATTATTTCGCTTGCTTTGATGATCGAGCACGTCCACGTCGATTTCTACCTTTGTAATCGCGTAGCGCACCTTTGAACCAACGCGTCCGGTGATTCCAGGCTTTGCTCGTTTAACTATCGGTCATCTGGTTCATTCGAGTTTTCGGTAATTGATAACAGCAGCAGCAGCAATCGTTGACAACTCGTGGGAAATCGTACGAGTAGATCAGTTTTTTTTTTTCGGCCAGTTTTAATGAAACGAGCAAACGTTTATTTTGAGACAATATATTTATTTCTTATTAATATGGAGTTCTCAACAATAACAGTATAATAGTAGGCG